CTAGCGTTTTGGAATAAAAAATATTAAATTTTATTCATAGCCATGACGGTTTCAAGTTTAACAGTAACTCTTTGTTCTTTGGTTCTCTCTTACTGAAACTCTACAAAAATATGGCTCCTTCCAAAAATTCATTACTCTATAAATATCTGAAAACTGATAACTTGTGTCCCTACCGAAAACTCATAATTTCGTAAAAGCGTGTCCTCCTAAATTTGTTTTCAAGCCTCAACTTGCGCCATGCAACTCCTTCTTGACAATAGAATCAGTCTAAATTCCAAACTGAGGCAAAAAGTACTTTTGACTAAAGTATGGCCCGTGCAAAAAATAAAGTTCTTATTATCCTTTACAACAATAAAAAAGAAAAAAAAAGACTAACAGATAAAATTACCGACAGAACATGGTATACCTTAACATTACTTTAAAATATTTTATTGGGATTGTACATAGGTATGACTGTGTTTTTTAATTTACTTATCTTTAGAATATTTTATTTTTTTACTGTACATAGTTTTTGATTATTATTTTACTTTTATTACTATAAGGTAAAAGATGCAATGATTGATTACATCTTTTACCTTAGAGCAGTCAGCCCTGATGATGGCCTGAACTTCAGGTCGAAACGTCGGCATATGTAAAAATAAATATTATCATTTATTTTAGCCTTCTTTTTTGACTGACCACCCCAACCATTCTTTTCTTCATTATCCACGACAGTCAACCATTTACCAATTCTGTATATATGGTGTGAATGTGTTCATATATCCGTATATACTATTGTCCAGGTGATAGATTGTTATAATTCTAAATAAATAAATTAAAAAAAATATTTCAATCTCCAAATATACAATAGATTACTGCGACTGACAAATTCCGCTAACATATAAGCACGTTATTTACGACAATAACTTATACAACCATAAAAAGTATGGTTTAATGGAAAACTGTGTAATACAAACTTAGCAACATTCAGAAAAAAAAGCTTTAAAAAAATGTTTGTTTCTTTTATCTTTATGTAATAAAAAAATATTTATTTTTCTTATTATTAATTCTGCCTTGTTGATGATTTCACTTCTATCGTGTAGTCTTGAGCATACACCGTAGATTTTTTTTTTTTATTGTCCGTGTTGAAATTTTTTTTTTATTTTAGTTAAAATAAAAATAATGTATTTTTTCTTTCTAAATGCATACGATCCGACTGCTCCAACACTTACTAGACAAACGCTCCAAACTTTCTATTAATTACAAAAGACTTATCTACATAACTATAATAAGACCTATATGGACATACGGAGTTGAGCTTTGGGGCTCCACCAAACCATCGAATTCCTATCGTATCCAATCCTTACAATCCAAAATCCTCCGTAAAATCCTTAATGATCTATACTTTGTCACAAATAAAACCATATGTCGCTGATTTAGCTCGAGCCAGATATCTATCCTTTCATGATAAACTTCAGTCCCATCCAAATCCGCTTGTTTCCACTCTTGCTTCTTTCTCGATTCCTGATAATCCTCCTAGGTGTCTGAAAAGGAGATGGCCTAGTGATCTTCTTACTTAAAATTATTTAGAGAGTGCTACCACTGGGTAGTAACTCTTCAAGCCTGTACATGCCATTATTTATATTTGCGCATATTTATTTGTTGTATTTGTATACAGTTGTAAATTTCATTAAATAAACCAAAAAAAATGCAAACGAATTCGTTAAATGGCTGAGAATTGAATATTCCATGTTTCTAGCGCTCAAAAATTACATAATTGCTATGATTGCTTTAGAGACAATTCATTAAAACAACGTTGCAGACAGAATGATTTAGATATGCCAGTATCAGTTCCGATTTCAAGGTTGTTAGAAAGACTTTGAAAATATTCTAACACGTTATATCATCTTGTAATTATTATTTTAGTACGTGTTACTGAGGAGTCTTGAACATTGTTTGATGATTGAATTATATATATTTGTTTTGTTTTTATTATTAATATAATAGATAGATATAAACTTCAAATCTGATAGTACACCTGCCATACATACAGTAATGGTGCAAAATCAAAATCAGTATTCTTGTATGTCCTTTTGAGGTTTTAAATAAAGTTTTCTACTCGAAAAGATGAAGAGAATGATCGACCTTGTTAGATTTGCATGCACGTCGGCGATAGGTTCTACTAACAAATTTGCCTTAGCCTTGACTGAGTCCTTGGAGTAGCAAGTAGTAAAGATTGATGAGTTTCTGTAACATCGCTAACAGTCAGTTGGACAATTTAAAATCATCTGTTTAAAGCACGTACGGGTTGTTTACCTATAATTAAAATAATAAAAATATAAAAAACCTGAGAAGAACAGCATTAATACTAAGTTTGTTCGTTTTCTTCTCATTTTTGACAGGAAAATAGAAGATGAATGGTTTAATTTTATATTAGACAATAACAACGGCGAGGTGTTAGATATAATTGAGATCCTGTTAACTACCAACTAAATTAACACAGGAATAATACTCTTATTAAAATAATTATTGGATTCCTGAAATAATTCTTGAATTAGGAAGGTCTCCAAACTCGTGAAAATACTTTAAAAGCTGGAATAAAATATGGTTCATTTATTTGTTTATTCATAAATTGAGTGATAAATAGTATCCAAAGATATATCGAAGCACTTTTATATAAAAACGCACAGATTGTTACACAGTTCCTCGTCGATCTTATCAATTCGATTACTCCCGAAATATTTTTTAATAAGAAAATACATCACGAAAGAAACTCCTTCAAACGGAGTATTAATAGACGCATAACATAAGAAAAATATAAGAATCGAGCTATTAAGTTCAAAATCTTTTTTTTTTTTTTATTAACGAAATTTATAACAGTAATTAATAATAAATACAACAAGTAAATATGAACAAGTAATATGACATGTACAACATGAGGAGAAACTACCCATTGGTAGCACTCCAATTATATTTCTATATTAGAAGGTCCCTAGGCCATCTTCTTTTTAGACACCTCGGAGGGTTGTCAGGAGTAAAAGAGGAAGCAAGGTTGGAAACGAGAGGGTTCGGATGGTTCAGAAGTTTATTATGAAAGGACAGGTATCTGGATTGAGCTAAAGCGGAAACATATGGTACATTAAGGTCATTATGGATGATTTTATTTGTGACTAAGTAGGGAGCATTAAGGATTTTACGAAGGATTTTGGATTGTAGGGATTGGATACGAGAGGAATTTGATGGTTTAGTAGAGCCCCAAAGCTCGATTCCGTAAGTCCAAATAGACCTTATTATAGTAATATATATGAGTCTTTTGTAAATAGTTGGCAGTTTAGAGCGTTTGTCTAGTAAGTGCTGGAGTAGTCGGAAACGTCGAGCGTTTTCTAGTAGATTCAGTCTGGTATGGGGGTTCCAAGTGAGTCGTTTGTCAAGGTGGAGTCCTAGGTATCGGATTTGGTCAACAGGGATAAGTGGGGTATTGTTACATATTGTACAAGGATACTGTAGGACAGGAAGTCGTAGGTTTACTACGAAGCTCAAAATTTAATTTAAGATCTAAATTTAATTTACTCATTTTAGCTGAAAGCAGTACTAAAAACACCGCAGAAAATTAGTAATAATAACATTGAGAGTACAAATAAAACCGATCTCGCTATCTTATCCTTAAAAGACAATAAGAGCTGGGAAAAACCTTGCAACTCTCACTTTAGTGCCACTCTATCTCACAATCAATCCATTTCTCCCATCCTCAATGTGTTATTAGAATCAGAAAGTTGTAGTACTGTTGAAGTCGAAGTCTACCATTTATTCAATGTTCATTGAAACGATTCGTGATATTCAATAATTGTAAGTACGATTTCGTCACTAATTTCCTTTTTCTTATTTTAGTTATAATATCTTAATAATGTATATGTATAATCATTTCTTAGTGTTTATAGTATTTTATTATTAATTTGTTGCCGCCCCCCCCCCAAAAAAAAAGGAAGATGCACGTGTTATATTATTTTCAAATTATTTAAAACATTGGGAAAAAAATTAAAAAATTCAATCGCGGGGGTAAAATTCATTAAAGGGAAGCCATTAAGGTATTAAAGGAAGAAATATTAACGGAAAAGATATATAAAAAACAAGTTAGAAAAACTTTAGCATACATGATACAATTATAAATCATAATTGAAATAATTATTTAAAAAATTATAATTATAAAACAAACAAACAATTTGTATATGTTTATATGTTTTTAGGAAAATAGGTTGCATATATTTATAATGACTATTGTTATAAAGCAATGAAATTGTAAATATCCAAGGGTAGCCATTCTAATAAAAATATTTCGAGAGGTGAACCAAAGGTTGAATGCTTATGGAATAACATTATTTGTTTTATTTAATTTAAAAAAATATATATATAAACATTTTTAGTTGGTACTATTTATTATTTACAATACAGAATTCTAAAACATACAGTTCATATTTAGCACAATTATAACAATTTTCTTCAAATATCTATCTGGACCTGTCGATGAAATGTTGACAATCTGCAGATAGACATTAATTTTCAAAAATATATTTTTAAATTTTTCTACAGTAAAACATTTGGACTACATCAAAATTATGTAGTGAGAGTCAATAGAAAGTACAGGCATTAAAAAAAAAAAAAAAAAAATGAATGCAGTGAAAATTATAATCAGTAGAATTAATTTATGATAATGTATATGATTAATTGATATTTTATATCTCCAAAAAAATGGGACAATACTATATGAATTATTATAATACCTACGATTAGGGAATTCTTTTGAGTGATTTTACCACATAATTTCTATTTCAAATGTCAAAAAAGATTTGAATCATTCCAGATTTGGTAAAATATCAGAAGAAAGCCTGATTACAGAAAGACACTGTTTATTTATGTATCACATTTCATGTGAATAAATAGTTTTTATTGATAATCATACAGATTTTACGTCGACTTAAAAATATTTATTTTTAAAAAATACATATTTTTACCAAATTCATTCATCAATCATGCATGATGAATTATAATACGGACGTAGTTCCAGTAATTTTAGTTGTTAGTGAACCAGTGATGTAACGGGCCATCTCAATCCTAGAAGTGGAGAAAGATTTCCAAGTTATGAGAGTTACTTTAAAGATAAATCTAACTTTACATGGCAAATAGCTCCTTCTCATACATCCTAAGGCAGCTTCCAGTGCAAATAAGAAGAAAACTTTGGAACTCAACCGTAAGTAGGAATAAAAATACCGCCACAATCCGTGTTCGGTGCAACTTTGAGAGGCTATCTTATCATTTTCGTTAACTCTTCTCCTGAAAATGAAAACAATGTTTAGGTTTTATTTATTTCACTGATATAATAAAATAATAGGCTTTCTTATAAACGTTCGTTGATACATCTGTTCTTATTATATGCGAATATGCGTTGCTGCTCAAGTGGATTTGGGAGAAAGGAAGAAGTAAAAGTGAAGATGTCCTTTTTTTTCAAGCCAAGAATTTGGGTTTTACAACCTGTTTTGAATAATTTGACTTTCACCTCCAGCTAAATTCCGGTCTGCAAGCTCTTCCTTGCCTTATCTTTATTAATGCAACTTGGCTGCCCATTTAGGACCGAGTTTCTGGCTTCTGTTTACATTTGCCTTTTGATAACTTGGCATTTTGCATTTATGCACATGTAATATTTATATGGAATAGTTTATGGATCATTTTCTATTTTTCGCTTCCTACAATACAGAAAGAAAAATTATCATAATGATACTTAAATATTTTCCTAGATTTAAATATCTTAAAATTAAATAAAAGTGAAATAGAAAATAATTTTGTCTACTTATTTTCAAATATTCTTAGCTGCAGCACAGTTTCTAATTAGTGTGTTTATTACTTAAGCATTGTAATTAACTTTTTGAATTGAAAACTTCTTTAGGTTCCTTTAGCAGTTTTTTGTGGAGAGTGAATTAGATTGAGCCGTCAGAATTCCGATGTTTAACCCTCGGATAAAGTCGGCTGAAGTCGACTAATTGATGTGTTTTGCCATGTATATTAAAATATCTCTAAAACTAAAAATCGGATCTGCATACTGTAGGCGAGGAAAATGTTCAGCATCTCATCCTCTTTGTAATGAGCTATTATTACAAATTGTATACTGCAGTGATGCCGTATTAATGAGGCAAAAATGGAATAATATAGTGTCGAGAACCTAAATATAACGAATCATACAAAAATAACGATAATATACGATCATAACATATTTTAGTTATCATAAACCTATTATTTCATTTTTAGAATATAAATACTGAATAGAATACTGACTTAATACGATTAGTTAGAGCAAAGTTTACTAGAGTAATTTAAAATATAATTATAATCTTATACATTTTAAATGTTATTACTTCTTGAATGTAGAACAAAAAAAAAATTATATTTCATATTATTAATCCCGGCTTGTCGATGATTTCACTTCAGTCATGTGGTCTTAAGCACACACATTAGATTTTTTTTATCATTTATTTAGAACTGTTACTACAGATTTGTGAAATATACACGATTTAATAAATTATTATGATTTAACTAATAAATTATAAACATATTGGTTTTTGAGAGTATGGAATTTAAAAATAATTTCTTAAAATTAAATAACAATCTTTCATCACAAATGTAGGGCATCAAAGTGAGGAAGAAAGGAATATTACACATAAAAATATATCCTCGACGACATTATATCGACAGATTTCGAAGCACTAACATACTTAACGGGGACATGAATTTGAATAATTAAATAGAATTTAATAATATACTGGGCCATTATTTAGACAACCATATTACACAATTCCCCAACTTTCCTCCTTCTTGAACTAGTCGTTTTAAAATGCAAGTGAATTATTTACTAGCTAAAAAAAAAATGTAATAGCTCAGAGTTATTGAAAATTGGCTCTCCTGAATAAATACAAAATGTGGTATGGTTTTGTTTATCTTCGGGGTACAGAAATTACCATTCGATTCGTTAATTGAAATTGATTCAAATCAATAAATAATAAAAAAAAAAAATCAGTTTTAGCTTGAAACATAATACTTTGAAAATAAAGTCAAAGATAAAATTCCATTACTTAGATTCAACATCTGAAGATGAAACGTTCAGAACTTTTAATTAAGCTGATACTATCTAATCGACTGTTAAATAAAAATGTTGTTTTAATATAATAAACTGACAGACAGGCTTATATCAAATTCACGTATTAATTTATGGAGAATATTGTCTGAAAATTATTTCATAGTTATATCAAATCAGTTTATGTCGCTGGAAGTTCTATCGCTGTTAGGTTCGCTGCGACATTGTAAATGTTTGTTTTTCCAACAAGTTGCAATCTCAAAGCAAACATGGTGCAATATGGATTACTTCGGTCGTTTTTAACGCCCTAACTACTACCTCTCCGAAGTAATGGGTTGATTTGTAATATGGAATATTTAAATAATGAATTTATTCTACAGTTATCTTCTGGTCGTTTATGAGGATATTTTCATAATCACTGAGGCCTCAGATAATTGAGATCTATAGGTACATTTATGTCAATATAGATAGATGTAACTGTATATGTACATTTCAATTATAGTTCGAATGGATGAATTAAAATCGAATTATATTACCTCAGAACATTAATTAAAAATTATATTTATTTAGAAATAGCTTTTGTTTCTAAATTATAAAAATTTATGGACTAAACAAGTTAATATTGACCGCCTTGCAAGGATTTTAAATATGATTCTTAGCTCATGCACATTGACTTGAAGCTTCATTGTTCCTGTTGGGCTTCAGAAGTTAAACGTTAAAACTGTTATTTTTAAATTGGAAAAAAAAACTTTTGTTGCTTGTATTTAATTTTTTTTAAAGTTCGTTTTATGGTGTAGTTTCAGAACTATAAGAATTAGCAATACTTTTGAGAGATGGGCGACTATCCGTTGTCCACCCAATCGTACTAAGAACCGCCTTTAATTTACTTCAAGTTTAATTTTGATTTCATTTAAAGATTGTTTACATTCAAACAAAATTAAATTAGAATGCTATAAAAATGAAATTGTAATTTTTTTAATTTAAATCCGTAATTTTTAATAATCTGTTCACTATTATTTTATGGAAATTAGATTAAAGAATATAAAAAAGTAATTGCTTTGTACTAACTTGAAAAAAAAAACAAGACGAAAACTCACAAAACATTGTAATGAATATCATTCAATTTTAACATTCCAAAGTTAGCTAAATAATTAATAATAAATTATTAATATTTATTATAATTTATCATATTTAATCAGTTAGTATGCAATACTAGGATAGTGTTAGTATGAAATAATAGTGTTGGCTGATTTAATTTGAGGTTTTTAATTTTCAGATACTAATGACATCAATAATTTTTATTTTAAAAAATAATATTATTATTGCAGTCGAGTCGAGTTTCATTTTATAATAAAAAGGTTCTGATATCACATTGCATTCCAATCTTATGTTAGTAATGTATGCACTCATTCACTATGATTTTTGATTTAATTGAAGTTTTAACTTCGTTTTCTTTAATAGTTTTATTATTATTTAAATGAAAAGAAAATTATTTTTTTTTATTAGATTACTTACTCATTGATAAATAATACAATCTGTTTTAATTAAGGACTATAAAATTAAATTAGGATGTATCTTTCTCTTTATTTATATCAAGCATAACATTTGTCAATTTTATGAATAAATAAATAATAATAATAATATTAATTCCAAATCTGCGATAAGTGTTTTAAACTATTATTTTAAGAATATACGATTAAATAATATAAAAAAGTAATTTTTTCTATAAGTAATAATTAAGGAGCAAAACAAAACGGAAAGTAACAAAATATTCTAATTAATACTATTTCATTTTTAGGTATTTTAACATGTAATAGTAATCACATATAATTACTTCACATCTCTAAGCCGTACTTTAAAAGAGTTAGCTTAATAATTAAGAATAAATAATTAATGTCTACTATAATTAATTATACTTAACCAGTTATTCTAGGATAATGTAAATTTGAAATAATAGTGTTGCCTGCTTACAATTTAATGTTAAAAAGGTTCTTAATTTTCAGATACTAATGACATCAAACATTTTTATTAAAAGAAAAAAATATATATTGAAAGGATTAAGACGATATTTATTCTGGAATAAAAAGACTATGTTCTTATCACATTATATGCCAATCTTAGTAACAATTTTTACACTTCATAATGCAAGAGAAAATCGGTGTTAAACGTAATCCAGGTCACAGAAGCAAATAATTGCCTACAATTTGCGACAAGGTTTTTCTTCAGTCTTTTCTCTAGTGTCAAATAATCACCAACAGCATTATACCTTGACAGACAAGGGAGTTAAAACTATATACTTCATTATCCTTTTTGCAAATTCGAACCATATCTTCTATCAAAACTCTAGGAATAAAATCTTGGACAAGCTCTAAGATGTAAAACGTATTGATTATTATAGAAGTAGGCTATTATAACTTCCTTGAAACTATGGTATATTTTTGTTAATCAATTTCCTTTACATTTGTTTAAGGTTTCGGTAAATTTTTTCTTACCATCATTAAATTTACGTTTGTGCTATCTTTGTCATTTTACTAAATTTGTCTATTACCGTTCCGAAGTTGAACATATTCACCGGCAATATACCTAGTTCTGCCATAAATACTGTTACAAGAGTTGAATTTTGTTTACATCCTTCGGAATTATATAAATAATCCTTAGCTCTATCAGGTTATTTTTTTTTACATGTCAGGATAATAATCCAAATTATTTTGTATTTTTCTTTAGCTTAGTTAACCTGGAGGGGGGATGGGGTGATAAAGAAAACCAAATATCTGTGATCGGCTTACACAAATTTGTAAAATGTAGTTTTTCAACACTTTGAAACCATTGGGTATCAGCTGTATGTTCGTGTACAGCACTGTATATAGATATAATGAGATACTATCTGTATGCGACAGACCTCGACCGAGCCGTCCCCGCACTGTGAGAACGGCAGTGAGAGCAGTGGCTGCTCCAATCAGAAAAAATCCAATTCGAAAACAACAAATCATCTATCGAGAAATAGGAGTCTCTGCCAAATCAATGCCCCGCATAATAAAAAGTCACCTCAGGATGGGTGCATTTCGAAGATTGACAAGACAAAGGCTAACCATTTTCCTACAAAAAAAAAATAGAGTTGATAGATGCAAAGTACTCCTTGACCATTACACCAATGATCTTCACACTCAGGAGATCTCTCCGAATAATTTAAGCTATCAAACCTAAAATTTGATCCAGCCAATCGCTCAAAGAGGAGCTATTTTATCGACAATTTTAATTGACTAAAAAATAAATTATTATTATACACCATTCATATTTTAAACCAAAATGTTTACGAATTATAATAACCTCTTTTTTAGTTAATAATGGTTTGAATTCAATTTTTTTTTTTAGCACGAATTTAATAATCCTGCGTACAATTAAAAAGTATACGTTTTGAGTTATTATAAAATTATATAAATGGATTTGTGAAGAGTCATTTTCTTTTTTTTTTTATCCTTTTAAGATATTTTTCTTCTGT